GAGGTATGTAATAACATCTCTGAACAGGTTGATTCAAAAATATAAAATTGCTGGAGATACCAACGTCAGGAAAACCATATCTGTAGAATCTATGTTACTGTTTGCCCACCAAAGATTTCAGTGGTTCACTAAGGATTTCTAATAAACATAACATTTGAAATATTCTATCATAGAAACATTATTAGCATTCTGGGAAGGAAGTTTAATATATTTTGAAAGAGATGAATGTTAGCTCTGTTATTTTATGATTGCCTCAAAAGAACACTGGAATTCTGCTACAACTGGCCTGTTTCCCATGTTGTATGACTGTATATTTCCTGAAAAAGAAAGAAGTTGGTTTTTGAAAAATTCTATCATGGAATGTGACATCATTATTGAGGCCAATATTTATTTCTAAATTAGGATAGTGTGATAAATACTCCTAAGTATTGATAAATGTTAGCAAATTTCATCCGCTGGTAATGATTGAATGTATTTCAATCATGACTTGCAGCTCTGGTAGTCATGACGCAGAAATAATTTAATGCTCTCTTGAGAGGATGCTCAGACATTTATGATTGTCTTATTTTGTGATATCCAAAATATATTTTGTTACCCTTATTCAAAACAATAAAATGTATCTTCAAGTAGAGGAGATTTCTAGTAGCTGAAATATGTTGCCTTGTGCCAAGCTTTTGGCTGGGGAGCAAAAAACTTAAAAGCACTTTGCATCCTTTAAAATACTTACATCCAGCAGAGGGCGTTGTTTGACTTGAACAAGCATTTTGTTACACACCACATTTTATCTTTGAATAAAAATCGTTGTACGTAATTTTACAACATTTGATAGATTTCTGATTTTTTTTGGTTCTGTTATTGCCAAAATTTTAAATGGTGATTACACCATTAACCTAGTCACACGAAACGTAGCATTTGAACAGACAAACCGACTGATATAATATTAATGCTACAAATAATGCTTATAAAACAGGTACTCTTAAGAAACAGGTTAAATTCTTCCAATTAACATTTAACACAGGTATGTAATTGCTATATTACCTTGTTTGTTGAAGATGTTTGGCATTATCATAGCGTGTTAATTGATAATAAGAGTTCTACTTTGCATGAAAATCATGAGACGTGACTGATTTCTAAAGTGCAGTTATTAAAGGTTTTCTGATTTATACAGTACAAAATTCAAAAACCAATCAGATTTCTGTGTTACAATTGACTCTTAACAAGCCAGAATCAAAATGAAGTGCTCAATATATTTGCAAGACCTGAGAAAGGATACTATTTACAAATCAGGAAAATAGAATGCTCCTGCATAATGTTTTTATGTTTCCCAGTGTAGAAAATGCTGAATATGCTTGATTTGAGGCATAGATTAATTTTGAATGATTTTTGATATTCTCTCTGGCTACTGTAAAATGTTAATCAAGCTGTTTGGATGTGTTATTGCACATCTCTGTGGCCATCACATGATGAGGTGGGAATTGAGCCTGGACCTCCTGGCCCAGAGGTAGGTACACTATCACAGCACCATAAGATCCCCTAAGCAATAAATTAGTCATTCACTTAAACACCATTGTTTGGAGAGGGTAGTGACTAGTTTGTGGTCTGTACTTCAACTACACTAAGCTTTTGGAGTATTTAAGTGTTCTGGAGCTGGCTTTGACTGTATAACTGTTCACAGTAGGACTTATAATCAACATAGTTGATCAATTAATTAAATTAAAATTGGCAATGTAGACGTCAAATTTCTTACTTATGCCTTCTTCAAGTCGTTACTGTTCTCTGTTACCTCAGTAGATAAGAAAAGTCAACTGACCACCTTGTATTTGATTCTGTTTGGTCTGAGCTGTTTCACTGCAAACATGCAACAGTAGTTCTCTGTCTTTGAGATGTGCAAGGAAATAATATCAGTGTTTCCACTAACATAAACAAAGGACTGCAGATACTGAGGATCTGAAACAAAAGCAAATTGCTGAAGTGACTCACTGGCAGCATCTGTGGGGAGAAAATAGAGTTGATGTTTTGAGTCCGGTAATGACTTTTCAGAACTGATAGCAGCAAGAAAAGAATGATATTTATGCTGATGATGGGTTGGGGGGGAAGCGGAGGGAGGAAAGGTGAGCTGATAGGTGGAGATGGAGGCCAGGGAGAGAGATATGAAAGGGGTAGGCAGACAGGGGATTGTTGATAGTAAGGATAGAAATGAAACTGAGTAAGTGATAATGAATTCTAAGAATAGGAGAGAATAGATAAGCTGTGTTTAAAAACAACCCATGTCATGAAGGGCCATGGTGTGGGAATGGGTTAAAAAAAAATCTGAAGGATGGAATCAGGCTCTAAAGTTGTTGAACTCCATGTTAAGTCCTAGAGGTTGCAAGGTCCCCAAATGGAAAATGAGATGTTGTTTTTCGAGCTCACACTGAGCCTCGATGGAACACTGCAGCAAGCTGGAGACAGAAATGTTGGCATGGGAACATGGTGTGTTGAAGTAGTGGGCAACTGGAAGCTCACGGTCATTTTTATTGACAGAATGTAGATGTTGTGCAAAACAGCCGTGCAGTCTGCATTTCGTCTCCCCTATGTAGACGAGACCACATTGTGAGCAGCAAATAGAATAGATTAGATCGAGTAAAGTGCAGGTAAATTGCTACTTCACCTGAAAGATATAACTGGGGCCTTGGATAGTGAGGAGGGAGGAGATAAAAAAAAGGCAGGTGTTTCACCTTCTGCGATTGCATGGAAAGGTGCCATGTAAGTAGGTGTTGGGAATAGAGCAGAAATGGACCAGGGTGTCCCAGAAGGAATGGTTGTGGCATCTTGGTGGAGATGGTGGCTTATGATTCTTTGGATGTGAATGCTAGTGGGTTGGAAAACGAGGACCTATTGCTGTTGTGGAAGGGAAGAGAAGGAATGAGCGCAGAAGTGCGGGGGCTGGGTTGGACACAGCTGAGGGCCCTGTCAACAGCGGTGCTCAGGAATCGTCAGTTGAGGAAAAAGATGGGCATTTCTCAGGCCCCCTGTGGAAGGTAGCATCATTAGAACAGATACAACGGGGAGAAACTGGGAGAATGGAATAGAGTCTTTACAAGAAGCAGGGTGGGAGGATGAATAATCCCGATAACTGTGGGTTTGCAGTGGCCAGCCTATCCCCAGAAATGGAAACTGATGTCAAGGAAGGGAAGAGTCAGAGACTGAGATAGACCAGATGAAGATGAGTGCAGGGTGGAAATTGAAAGCTGAATTGATAAACTTTTGCAGTTCCCAGCAAGGGAGGGGAGCAGTACCAGTGATGTCATCGATGTACCGGAGAGTTGTGGGGGGCCGGGGATGATTTGAATAAGACTTGAAAAAGCAATACTCCATGTACCCCACAAAGACACAGCTGTAACTGGGGGCCATGCAGGTACCCATGGCCACACCTTTGATCTGAAGAAAGTTGGAGGCGTTCAAGGAGAATTTGTTCAATTTGAGGATGAGCTTGGCCAAACGAAGGAGGGTGGTGGTGGATAGGGACGATTCAGGCCTTTGTTCCAGAAAGAAACAGAGAGCCCTAAGACCATCCTGATGGGGGTAGATGTATAAAGGGATTGCATGTCCATGTTGAAGAGGAGGCAGCTGTGAATTGAAAATTTTGAAACTGCCATAGACTGTCAGAAGAACCACAGATGTAAGTGGGGAGGAACTGTACGAAAAAATCAAGTTGTGGTAGGAAGGAATAAGTTCCGTGGGGCAGGAACAGGAGAAACTATGAACCTGCAATAGGCTGTCCCATTTGGGGATTTTTGGGGAGAATGTAGAAGTAAGGGTTGAGGGGCTATTAGTTTTGAGGCTGTAGGATGAGATCCCCAGATGAGATGAGGTTGGTGACTGTCATTGACACAATGGCTTCATGCTCAATGGTGGGGCCATGGTCCATGGAGAGATAGAAGGAGGTGTCTGAGAGCTGGTGCCAGCCTCCGCAATATAGAGGTCAGTACGCCAGCCGACAACAGCACCCTTGTTGGCAGGCTTGATGACAAAGTCAGGATTGGATCTGAGAGCATGAACTGCAATCAGTGTAGAGGAGGTAGGTTGGAATGGGTGAAGGGAGCACAGAAATTAAGGCGATTCATGTCATGTTGACAGTTCTTGATGAACAAGTTGACTACAGGTAAAAGACCAGAGGAAAGGGTCCCAGGTGAAAGGGGAGGTGGGTGAATGGGTCTGTGGATCTGGGAGAGGACTCTTGTCCTGACAAATGAGCACCGAGGCAAAGGTGACAGAAGAAGAGTTCAATGTCATGTTGTGCTCGAAGTTCATTGAGATGGAGTGCAAAGGGATAAAACTAAGACCTTTGCTAAGTGCTGAGGCGCCATCTCTACCTTTCTGCTCACCTCTCCTTCCCCTCCCTACCCCCATCCACATCTTCAGTATAAATATCACAATTTCCTAGCTGCTACTGCTGCAGTTCAGATGAAGGGACACCGGATTTGAAATGTTAGCTCTGTTTTCTCCCCACAGGTGCTGCCTGATCTGCTGAGTTTCTACAGCAATTTCTGTTTTTGTTTTAATGTTTCCACTTTTGTTTGCAATCCTGTAATTGCTTTTCGAAAATCTGTGTGCACATTGGGATGAGATGTCATGACCTACAGAGTTGAATAAGCTGTCTAAATTTCTATATAAAGAAAGACTATTAGGATAAGCTACCAAGGGATGACTGGTGTCTCTGGACACGAATCCTAGCAGGAGTCAATGCGTGCCAGTTCTCTATCTTTGCATTGTATTGTAAAATATCACTCATAAATTGATGAGAATGGTTCAGGGTGAATTGCTTCTGATCTTCATGGCTTCCTTCCTTCCTGATTTTATGCTGTGAATCTTGCTTGATGTAGTGAGATTGTGATCTTAAATGTTATGGGAACATTCATTCTATCTTTCGCAGTGCAGTGCAATTGAACACCAGTGTGCTGTCATTGAGCCACTCCCTGAATTGCTGCATAAGAAATTATGTACTTTTCTCTTCCCAGGATGAAACTCTGTGTAATATTTGGCGGCGTTATCTGCAAAAAACCCAACAGGCCTACACGAACAAACCAATTGATGTCCCTCGCAGAAAAAGGATGGTAGGTCTGATAAAAGAAATTAGTTCCCAAGTTGAGTAAGATAACTTGTTCTATACTTTTGCCAATTAGTAGCCTAACCTCAAGTTCATTTGGAATATGACTTCTTTTGCATGTGGAACTTAGACATTTCCATGGTTATATTTCTATTTGACCCTTTCAATTCATGATTGTGTATATCCTGCACACAAGCATTTGTCTTGTCCCTGTATGACTGACTTGTTCCCGTAATCCTTTATTTATTTCCTTTCTCTCGGCCATTTAGCTAATCTGTCCTTAAATCTTGACATGCCGTCAGCATCAATCACTAATTCTAATAGTGCATTCCACAGTTTCTCAACCCTCTCTGTGAAAATGTTTGTTCTACTGTCTCTCCTAAATCTCTTGCGTTTAATGTTATTTTTACAAGTTCTAATTCCAGACCACTCATTTAATTGAACAGTAGTTTTCAATGTAACATGGTTTATGTCTTCCTAATTTTAGACTTCAATGTTGATTTACCTCTTTATTCTCTAATGAAACCGTTTCATAAGAATTTTTCAAATACTTTCTGAATTTATGTTTCTACATAATAGATAGCAACCTAGGGAGCCGGTGCTGTACCCCTTTATGGTCCAACCATTCTTCTTTATAATATGCAGTCCAAAACTGCAAAACATCTTCCTAAACTTTGTATACATTCAGCATTATATGTTGACTTTTGTCTTCTACCATAAAACACTTTTCCATTAGTCTTATTTACATTTATTCATCTGTATGGGCACTCTGTGTTACAAGCACGGTATTGAATGCCTATCCTAATTGTCCATGAAAAGGTACACTGCCTTCTTGAAGTGGTGCAGTCTGTGCTGAAGATATTCATGCAGTCCTGTTAGGTAGAGTATTCCTGCCTTTTGATACAATGACAATGAAAGAAGCACAATATATTATTAGGTCAGGATAGTGTCTGTAGCTTGGAATGCAACTTGAATGTGGCGGTGTTACTGTGTGCCTTCTGCTCTTGGCCTTCTCAATAATGGGGGCTATAGGTTAGGGCGATAATGTCAAACAACCCTTGGGAAGTTGCTGCAGCATCTTGTAAAGTTCCATTCGTAAAGTTTTAACTTGAATCAAAATGCACCATTTCATGTTTACTGACATTAAATTCCACCAGCCACTGCGTTACCTATTCCATAATCTTGCAGCTTCATTCAGACTCAATTATTTATTGTTGTCATCATATTATAATAATTGTGATCTTCAAATTTGGACAGCACAATGTCTAGCCAAATCCAAGTTAATTAACATACATGATGAACAAAACCCTTTGGAACACTTATCCATTTGTAATCACATTAAGAATCTTCTCTTAACTTTAATGTCCTTTTTATTTTCTTCTAATTTCCTCCTTAATCTCATTAATTTTCCTCTGGATAGCCCAAGGGCTGTCTGTAAATGCATTATATTTTAGCAATCCACCATATCTGTCACCTCCACAAAGAACTGCATTAGTTTTGTCAAATGCAATTGTTCCTGTTTTTTTTCTAATTATTTTCCTTTTACATAGATATTTAACAATTTTCATATTTAAATAGTTCAAAATTTTCACTAACAGTCTTCAAAAAACTTCTGTATTATCAAATTGTCATGTATAATTGTCATGGGGCGGCACAGTGGCTGAGTGGTTAGCACTGCTGCCTCTCAGGACCAGGGACCCAGGCTCACTGCCAGCCTTGGGCGATTGTTTAGAGTTTGCACATTCTCCCCATGTATCCGTGGATTTCCTCCAGGTGCTCTGGTTTCCTACCACAGTCCAAAGGTGTGCAGGTTAGGTGGATTGGCCATGCTAAATTACCCATAGTGCCCAGGAATGTGCAGGTTAGGTGGATTAGCCATGGGAAATGCAGGGTTACAGGGATAAGGTAGGGGTTTTTCTCTCATTTTACAAGAAACTTTCAAAACTGTATGAAGAGGAGCAATAGTAGTAAACATCTCTTCAGATAATGTGAGAGTAGATTCAGGCATTCATGGGGGAGAATGACTGTGACAAATACCAGTCAGTTATCTTACTTTTCATATTTTTGAAGGTTTTTCTCTCATATTGCTTTCAGATATAAGGAAATCTAAATGTTGATATTTTTGCCATAAACCAAACTGGCCAAATTGTGCTGGAATAACTTATATGTAAAAAAAATTATCATAGAATCCCCACAGTGTGGAAACAGGCCATTTGGCCTCTCGAGTCTACACTGCTCCTCCAGAAAGCATCCCACCCAGAAACACCCCCTGAATCTACTCTCTCATTACCTGAAGAGATGTTTACTACTATTGCTCCTCTTCTTACAGTTTTGAAAGTTTTTTGTAATGTAAGAAAATGTATTAAGTAGATTCTTCCTTTCATAAAGAACTAAAACAATCCCTTGTGTTGTGTGTCATTTGATGTTGAAGCTCAAAAAAGGATTATTGTGTTTACTGCTTTTGTCTGATCATAGGAATACCAGTGGAGCTGACTAAATTTCCTGGTAAAGCACAGCACACACTAATATATGTATCTATGTCTTGTTTTGGTTACATGCATGTCTTTGCATGTTTGGACATGAATCAACTGAAATCCCTACCATTCAGAAACCTTGCAGGTTGATTTCACTAATTGTACTTTTTCCAATCTGAAACAAAGTGCCTACAATATAGCCTTTTAAAAAGCAAACTGTGACTATAGAAACTGATGATGCCAGCAGGGCACTTTTTCTTTTAAGTTCTTAGAATTTTAAATATAACGTGATTCACTGAAGAATATTACGTTTTTCCCCCCTACAAGATCCAGGATAATTAGTTGATTGAATTGTATTAATGGAACATTTAAATTTAAAAACCAGGTTTCCCAGATTTACCCTAAAGTTGGACCAATGGCTTTGTTGCATTTCTGATTTTTTTTTTTTTACACAGTGCATTCTTCTTCTAGTGTGCTTCTATCTACATTTTACAAAGATATTAATTTGGTGAACTCTGATTTTGATGAAGCTTAAATTTTAATTTTGAGTTTATCACGTCACCCACAAATATCAGAAGTGGGCAAACTTTCCTTCATGCAAAATATTAAATAAGAACACCTGTTCGTAATGCCTGGAGGAACATTGGGGAAAATTACACAGTCATTGCAGAATAGGCAGATTCCATAACAAGTTTACAATCATTCCTGATTGATTGATTTTTCTTGTGTGCTGGACTGAAACAACTCATTTAAACCCAATTTCTATAAGAAATCTGTATCAGCATTTGGCATTGATTCCTCAACACAAAATTGTTTGTGAATGAGTGGGCAACATGGCATATAATATGCCGAAGCTTGGTCTCTGTAATGGCTGTTCTTGAGCCAGCAGTATTATGAATTTGAATATTTTGAGGCTCAGTGTCTCTTCGTTCTTTCTGTTGTGTGAGGATTTTGTACTTGACCATTTGCAACTGAGCCGTCTCACCACTTAGTAGCCTTGAAACTTTATCACTTTAATGCCTTTTGGGGCCCATAAACTAACGAAAGTAAGCTATACCAAGGTGAACCAAAAATATTTTCGAGCATTGAGGAATCATTGCAGTACAAAATCACATTCTTCAGTTGTCAAGTTGTAATTTTCTTTTGTTAACTGTATCCATTGTTAACTAAAGAACATTATCAAAAAGTAACAATTGAATGCATTTGTAATTAACAGTGATTGTACATAATTAGTGGTTTTATTTAAATTTAGGAATTTGCTGAGTACACAAAATTTAAATAAGGTGATCGAAAAACAGACTGACTGACTGACTGAAATATGCTTCCTGCACAAAAAAATCATATGATGCCTATGAATTTGCATTGCATAAAAACTTGGAATAACTTCAATACATTTTATTGTTGTGGTTATCTTAATGACCTTTTAGACACCAGGATGTCTGTGAAACTGAATGCTGGGTGTGCCTTTTAAACCTAATTTATTCTCCACACAGATGCATTTATTTTATCAATATGCCATTAGTAGCAGTTCTGTCATTGACATTGAATGTAACAATGAAAGTACGGTACTGCTTCTGGAAGAGGAAATTTATATTGCAAGTAGTTACTTTGAATATCTTCTTTAGTGGTGATGCTTGTGCCATCAAGATTGCAGCTTTCTTAGAGGCCAGAGCGAGTGCTGCTGATTGGAAAATCCAGCTCAATATCTTTGTGACATGAAAGATGAATTAGGGAACAGGAATAAATGAAACAAGTAGGATGAAATTCAACAGACACAATCAAGAAGGTTTCTCACCAAACAATCTTTATGCACTTCACTTGTTTTAAGTCTGTGCATGGAGGATTATTCTTTGCACTAAGTAAGCTCCCAAAATGAAGAGCTTTTCAGAGATTTGATCTTTTATTCCGTCCTCTCAATTTTTCAAATACTGAGTTTAATAAATGTTATAAAGTGTTTTGAAAACAGTGCACATTACAGAAGAGGAATTGTTGGAGGTGTTAGAAAATGTAAAGGTGGATAAATCTTCAGGACCTGATCTAGTGTATCCCAGGATATTGTTGGAAGTTAGGGAGGAAATTGCGGGGCCCTTTGCAGAAATATTTGTATCATCTATAACTGCAGGTGCCGGATGACTGGAGACTGGCTAATGTTGTGCCTTTGTTTAAGAAGGGATGTAAGGAGAAGCATGGGAACTATAGACCTGTAAGTCTGACTTTGGTGGTGGGTAAGTTGCTGAAAGTGCAGATTTATATGCATTTGGAGAGGCAAGGAATGGTTAAGGATAGTCAGCATTTGGTTTTGAGCGAGGAAAATGGTGTCTCACAAGCTTGATTGAGTTTTTGAGAAAGTAACCAAGAAGATTGATGAGGGCAGAGCAGTAGACTTTGTTTACTTGGACTTGGTAAAGCCTTTGACAAGGTTCCATATGATAGCGTAATCAGTAAAGTTAGATCACCTGGGATTCGGTAGAGGGTTTCTCGGATTAGAGGCCTGTGACCAGTGGTTTTCCACAGGGATCGGTGCTGGGTCCACTTTTGTTTGCCATTTATAGAATTGATTTAGATGAGAATATAGGAGGCATATTTAGTAAGTTTGCAGATGACACTAAAATTGGTGGTATAGTGGACAGTGAGGAAGGTTATCTTGGATTACAAAGAAATTTTGATCATTTGGGGTCAATGGGCTGAAGAGTGGCAGATGGCGGTTAATTTGGATAAATGTGATATATTGCATTTTTGTAAAACAAACAAGGGCAGGACTTATTCAATTAAAGGTAGAGCCAAGGGTTCAGGTCCATAATTCTTTGAAGCTTGCATCACGTGTAGACAGGATCGCTAAGAAGGTGTTTAGCACACTTGCCTTCGTTGCTCAGACCTTTGAGTATAGGAGTTGGGACGTTATGTTGAGGTTGTACATGACGTTGGTGAGGCCTCTTCTAGAGTACTGTGTCCAGTTCTGGTTCCCCTTTTATAGGAAGGACATTATTAAGCTGGAGAGGGCTTGGAAGAGATTTACCAGGATGTTGCCGGAAATGGACGGATTTGAGTTATAAGGAGAGGCTGAATGGACTGGG